GCTCCTAAAAGAAAGGTCGAGCGGGGTCATTTTAGGTCAATAACCTATTCTGAGCTCTGAAAACTCAATGGAAGATGTATGAGGCGGTTCCTGCCATCAATGAATTCAAAATGAGCACCGAAAACTACCCCATACAGGAAGCCCTAGGGTAATAAAACAGGTTGGTTTTGACCTTTGTCTGGTCTTCATACCTGACCTTAGGTCGACATAATTTGCTGATGTTATGTTTGTGTTGCCTAATAAAGCATCTCAAAGATGTATAGCTTCATCAAACACTCCGTTGTTCGCATCAGGTTGAACGATTCCCCACACATTGTCTCCGCTAAAATCATGGCCTGACTTTGACCTGTCATAGGTCAGTGACCTTGCAAGGTACATTTAAATTTCTTACACCAAACGATCCACTATTTAATTGCTAACAGCTCTGCAACATTTGGTGCAGCTAAGCCGCGCCGTTCGAAAACCATTCTGAAAAACCTTCGGGGGGGGGGGCAATCTGACCCCCCACCCGAGCGCGTGTTAAAAGAAATGGTCCACATTTGAAGATATTGCCCCAAGTACAAGACATTATAAAATAGCTCACTTGTAACTTTTATTGTACTTTTAAGTGGAAAAATTGCACCAGTTAAGATAACTTCTCTTTTAAGAAAAAGCTTTTCAATACGTCATTGTTTACGTCATCTTGCCTGGTACAACACTGATTGAGAGTCGACAACTGTATCTGCATTGGCCCTCATCGCCATATAGCTAATGAAATTACAGGATTTGAATGACATCATTATGATGTCAGGGATGTCTGGGTGATCTTGAAATGGTCGCCGAAAAGCCGCACATATTTGCGGCGTATGGCTGAGACAGCAGAGGGGTTTAGGTCTTGAGGAGGGCAGCGCTGTGAACTGCACCGAATAATCTTCAAGATGACTACTTCAGTGCAAAACCCCGTATAAACTTAGAGCACTCCTTTTAATTAAGTGTCCCTAACGCTGGCGGGAAATTTGCTGACAAGACCGGCATAAATTAGTTGTTGACAGGCAAAAGCGCACTATCGTGGTTGCAGTGACTTGGCGACTTTCCACAGAAACGAGGAGGCACGCCAAAAGGCCTGGGCGGACGGTTCCAGGGGCCCAGCCACAAGATGTTCTGGAAAAGAGCCACAACAAACGGTTCTGTTCGCGAACTGTTCCCCATGCTCCGACCTCCTAAGACCCGCTAGTCAACACTGATGATAGCATCACCAGACAAGAGCTGCTGCGCTACGTGAAACCCAGATGTTATGTTTTGTTTGACGACCCCTCACTCGCATAGCAGATAACTATGCAGTGGGCCCATTTGATAGCAGAATGGATATAACTGAACAACCGGGTGCAAGTGTAACTGAACAACAGTGGCAAGTGTATTAGTCACACAATCGTGACTGGTGGCGTTCTATTACCAATCCAATGACAAAGCACGATATCATCAGTCAGCGATATTTATCAGTTATTCCACGCCCGTCATATTGAAACGACAAAAGACACTCCAGATAGGCCACGTCGCGGTTCAGAATGAGCAAGAGCTGAACCTCTGGCAGGGTGTAGATTATGCGGTCGATTGTTCACGGTAATGCACCTCATTTTTAAGGAAATGTACCACATTCGAAGATATTGAAGAAATCATCAGATATGATGGAATAGGTTCACTTATCACTACTGGTATGCTTATCAGTGGAAAAGACTGTCCAAGACACCACAGTTTTTCTGTTTAGTAAATATATGCCTCAATACGGAATTGTTTGTTTACGTCATTGTACCTTGCACAACAGTGATTGAAGGCCAATTGATGGCCATTATACATGGAAATCGTCTTCACGAACGCCAGATATGTACGACTCGACAATCACCTTTTTATTGGCATTTGTCGTCGCACGAGCAATGAAATAGTAAGATTTGAATGGCGTTATCATAGCGTCATGGATGCCTGGGTGACCTTGAAATAGTCTTCCGAAACAGCCAGCTTGTTTGCGGGTATGTAGCTCAGAATCTAGATGTTTTAGACCTCAAGAGGGGCAGGGCTGTAAACGGCGCCAAGTGATCTTCCAGATGGTATTTCAGTTCAAGACCCCATACAAACGTGGAACACTCCCTTGAAGTCTGAAGGCGACCTTGGGCTTTTGAGGGTTGCTGGTTTTCCCATATGTTGTTGGATGCGGTTCTTGAGATTACCCCAAGGCATGAAGTCCGGGTGCGACAATCAGTTATGATTTCTTCCCTAGTGTGATGACTAGTCTGGGTCTATTATTGCGACGCTTGGACAATCTCGCAGATTTTGAACGTAACAGAACACACAGTGCAGTTTATTACTGAGAAGGAATGGTAACGACTGTTGGTCGACTTCAACTGTTGCAGAAACAGTGCAGACTACTGATCCAAAAGCTCCACATCAAGGACACAGTTAAAAACTCAAAAGACGCCTCATGTTATAAAACACGTCACATGAACCACTTTTAAGATTATTTGATGCCTACTGTATTCGAAATTTGCCCACCGCGGTGTGCATTTAGCTTTTTACTGCCGGTAGCCAAAGTCCTTTGAGGCTCATGTCGTTCAACTCAGAGCGAGATCAGTTAGACTACCAATATTAGCTCAGTTAATCGATACTGCGTCACCTCCCTCCAGGACAATCCCGATCCAATATGAGCCCAACTCCACGCCTACTCAGTCACGCGCGCACCTGCACCTCGTACAGGCGTCTCCGGTCCGCTGGGCACCGCTAATCGTGGGTGTATTCCCCCTCTCGCCTCCCCCCCCCCCCCTCCCCCTTAGCCCAACAATAGCGGCCAGTTGCAGGCAGCGCCGGCCGCGCGGACCGCAGCCGCAGCACCGACAGCGCGGCCGCAGCCGCAGCACCGACCGCAGCGCGGCAGTGAGCACCCGACGACGGCTGGACAAAACGACCGGCCCTGTCCACAGCGTGCGACCCGGGGGCGCTGAAGCGATCGGCCCCAGTCCACAGCGAGTGCCCCGGGGGCGCTGAAGCGACCGGCCCCAGTCCACAGCGAGCGACCCGGGGGCGCTGAAGCAACCGGCCCCAGTCCACAGCGAGCGACCCGGGGCGCTGATGGCTCGGCCGCTGAGCGGACGCTGGCTTCCGCGTGATCACAACTCATCAGTGAAAGAAGCGAGCGCGGTGCCGAGGCCGGACGGCCGCGCACCGTCTCGGTTTCCTGGGCGCCAACCGTTGCGTGCTGGATGCATGCATTGCGGCCACGTGCCGCGGGAGCTATGCTTGCAAACAATGCTGAGAGGCGTCATCAGGGACTCGCAGCACTGTAATCAGCCGGCCGATTCGCTCATTATGGGATCTATGAGGCGATGTTGGCTGCAGCACCGCCGCACGCGACGGGCAATGAGGCCGGCGGCGCTGCGCGGCGCTTCCGGTGTGGTTACCGCGCTGGGTCTGACCAATGACATTCAGCCACGCCTGAATTCTAGCAGCTGTTGAGATCATATGGTCAGACAGAGAGATCGGGCCATTTGGTCTAGCTTACGAAGCATAATGATCATTTTCTGCATGCTTCTTATGCATCGATTACATCACTGTTTTAAGTTCATGAGGTATCGATTTCGTTTCATTTTCAATTATTTTTCATGTTGTAAGGCCTGACAATACCATCAAACTGGAAGCCTCGGCTGCGTCACTGCAAAACACCGTAGTCGTCTTCACTGCCAAGCTTCGACAATTTACGCACGCGACGCATATAAACAAGGAATGTTACAGTAGGTAAAACGGACAGAGCGGCCGTCAGTCGTAACGCATTTCCCTTCCGTCAGTCAACTCCAGTTCTGACAACAATACCGCCAAATGAGATTGCATGAGTCGGAAAGGAAATGCATGTTATATTCGAGCATACTCCACTCACCCCCGCTCAGCTCAGCCACTTCAGCTCACGGCAAACCCTCTTGGGACGAACATTGCCAACGGCAATGAAAATGGAAACACGAGCATCACCAAGGGCAGCGAGCAAGGAAGGCGCATGCCCAATCAGCACCGCGGGTGGAGCACTACGACGTTTGATCTAGAGCGACCAAAGCTGATCATATCCCCCGAGTCGAGTTATGTGAGCAGAGGGGGCTCGCTGTGGGTGGAAGCGATCAATGCTGGACCAATACGCGTTATCATCCGCAGTCTGCTGGCAGATAGGCAGCAGGATGCGGACACGTTTGGCGGATTCGTCGGCATCACGGCGATGACGAAGCCTTCCCCCTCCTGACGTCATTGCCACTGACGTAGGCTAATGAGGTTTTGACCGCCTGTTTGCCTGGAGCTGGCAAAATGGAAACTACCACGTGCATTGAACTGGGACACAAAATCGATCGGCACTATAGTGCTGACAAAATCAGCTCTGGTTCAGCCCACAGGGACACGGACACCCTTTCAAACGATTGCATATTTTTCGGCAAACGCATTGTACCGGCAGATTGAGAAGGGCCCTTTATTTTACACATGCCTGATCTCACAGGGATACAATAGCCATATTCGTGAACTGCATAGTCTCTCAAGGTGGGGATTAAACGACCTCCCGAGCAACCAAATTTGAAACAAAAAGTATCATTGTGAATGCCTTCAGGCACTCAACTGACTGCCTGGGCTCATCTTGTCTTAGACGATGCAGGGTGACTGCGTTACAGAGCTCTACAGAAGCACTCGTCTTGTATGATAAGCCGTCCTGCCTGCCTTGTCTTAGACGATGCAGGGTGACTGCGTTACAGAGCTCTACAGAAGCACTCATCTCGTGTGATAAGTCGTCCTGCCTGCCGAGTGACCGTCCGGCTCTCCTCGGCCAATGAGAAGAACGTCGGCCACAATATTCACGACTCGAGCCTCGCCGTGAGGGTGAGAGAGATCGCATCACTGCACTTCTGGATACAAGTTCGCACAGAACAACTGGCTTCGCGTGAGCTCATGTCGAGCACAGCCCACAGCATGCATGGTGCGGCCAGTGCGCGTGACCCAGGACTGACCTCGTCCGTGGGCCGACTGGTCGCTGACGTGCCGTCACTGGTGACCAGGGGCCGCTTCACCTCCCGGTGGCCTCGGCGGTTCTTCACCAGGTTGTATAGCGTTTTCAGCTGGGGAGAACGGTGGCGTCATACAGGCGTGACCACATGAGCATATGGTGCTACAGTCTGAGTAGGGTGCTTTAGACGCGCGGGTGACGTCACACTAGACCACATGAGCATATGGTGCTACAGTCTGAGTAGGGTGCTTTAGACGCGCGGGTGACATCACACTAGACCACATGAGCATCTGGTGCTACAGTCTGAGTAGGGTGCTTTAGACGCACGGGTGACGTCACACTTGCTCGCTCCATTTGTATGACCACGGTACATACCTTCTAACAGTCCGCTACACATAGAAATGTATTGTTACACACCGCTACACATCCTTCGCCGATACGCGTCATAACACGCCCGACAGTGTTGTTACCGGCCGGTCACCACTGGCAGCGATGTAGGCCAACAGAAAAAGAAATGTCACTGAAAAATAATGGTCAATCGCACTGATAACAGGTGGCTGAAATTTACCATACTTCAGAATTTGGGATCACGACCTACAATAAATATAGGCAGATGAAAACGGAGTGTAAATTACTGTTGAGAAAATTTTGACCATCGACCGCTCCATTCCTAGTCGTCGAAACAGCTGGATAATTTTGTTTCAACTTTCAAGCCGTTAGACAAATCCACCATTCATGATTATTGTCTGGACGTCAAGCGCTCTCGAATCTGCCTTTCGTCCGTCGAATAACCCCCTCCCCGCCGATGGGGAGTAGTTTACGCCCCGATGCTGTCGCCGCCGAGTTTTAGTGGCGGCGCATTCTGGGGTAAAATGATTCCCTGGGGACCCGCCTGTGCTGTCCAGCGGACTCGCCAAGCCAGCCGTCCGCCTGGCTTTGCCGTACTGCACTCCATTAGCTCCGGGCTCGCGGCCACGCGGCGGAAACAGGCTGAGAGCCTACCCTGCCGCCGGCATACTGTTCCTAGCAGGTGTGCAGGTGCCACGGACGCGCTGAAAGCGGGCCGCACGCGCGCGTGACTGGTGTGGTGCCGACATACCGGGCGCTGGCGGGGAGTGCCGACTGGAGGGGCTGGCGGGGAGTGGTGGCGTGAGGGGTTTGATGGGGAGTCGCGACTGTAGGGTGCTGGTGGGGAGCGACGACTGGATGTTGCTAATGTGGGGCGGCGGCTAAAAGGTGTTGGTGAGGAGCGGCGACTGGCGGGTGAAGTAGTGAACACTTGTTCGGGAATTAGTTAAAATTTCATGTCAAAGCAAAGCAATTTTTGCGAATTGTTGCTCGGGGAATGGCCAGGTGTACGAGTGTCATTCTGTCCCGCTGGGCCAGGCATTGTACTGATTGCAAGCCTTCACACGTCACCCAGGTCTTACGGAGAAATGGGCTGGGGTTTACATGTGGGCAGCTAAGCACTCGATGCTTGCCAAGCGAAACACCAGCTGGTCGCCGGAGGTCTGAAAAATAAGCTTTACTCATGAAAGCCTAATGAGAAAGGGCGAAAGGTCTGAAGTCTGCACATTACGAGTGCATGGTGTTCCTAGATGCAAAGCATCCTATTCATTATCGAAGGTGAAACCACGTTTCGAGCACGAAAAACTTGTCTGGTCGGAATTTTAATGGTTTATTTTTCTTTATCTGAAAAACATGTCGTCCAAATAGTCCATTGGCAACATTTCAAGAATATGTTTGGCTTGCGTTCGCAGCTTCGGTAAAATGTGCAACGTCCCGTTCATGGCATGTTGACTCGATTTACCGTCCGTACTTTACACCTGAGCAAGCCAAGCGATGTTCTCCATCCTAAAATATGAGCAGTCAAAGAGGTCCGTCCTGACGTCATGCTTCGTTCTTGTCTGTAAAATTTTACATCACCGCGCATTTCAACCGAAACGCCCACCGATTTCTGAGATTGCTTAATCCTGTTAACGCAAATTAACAGCATTTACCGTAGAATTGCCGCTGTGCATACCTAGCATGTTTCTTAAGATGCCCGGTGCTGAATATTCAACACATCTCTACCATTATTTTATGTTGTGATATGCAGTAGGAGTCTACTTGTACGGTGTAACATTCTATGTCGCTTCTCTCACCGCGCATATTTCAGTGTACGTTTCTCAGACAAATCTCCGCGCACATTTCTGGTACACTGCCTGCAGCTTCCATATCAGGTCCTTCCAGCATGCACATATCCCGGAATCGGATGATTTGCTGTGTCTGGTGCAGTGAAGCACCGGCGGGTACCATGACACCCAGACGCGCCACAATTCTCGGTGGTCCGTCTGTCACTGGACGCTGGGACCGGTGACTCCCGATTGTGCGCCGCCGCAGGACCGGTGACGGCTAATCGTGCGCCGCCGCAGGACCGGTGACGGTCAACCGTGCGCCGCCGCAGGACCGGTGACCTCCGACCGTGCGCCGCCGCAAGACCGGTGACCTCCGACCGTGCGCCGCCGCAGGACCGGTGACAGCCGACCGTGCGCCGCCGCAAGACCGGTGACCCCCGACCATGCGCCTCCGCAGGATCGGTGACGGCCGATCGTGCGCCGCCGCAGGACCGATAACGGCCGATCGTGCGCCGCCGCAGGACCGGTAACAGCGGACCGTGCGCCGCCGCAGGACCGGTGACGGCTGATCGTGCGCCGCCGCAGGACCGGTGACGGCTGATCGTGCGCCGCCGCAGGACCGGTGACGCCGTGATCCGCGATCGATCCGCCGACCGCACGCCCGACGAACGGGGGCCACCGGCCGACGGACGGTCTCGGCGGGGTGCCGTCGGCTCCGTCCCCCCTCCCCCTCCCCACCTCGGTCATTGGAAACCGGCGGCCAGCCGGGCGCGCCCGGGGGCGTTACGTCAGAGTCGCCAGTGTTGAGCTTGCCCGGCATCACACCGGTCACCAATATTCAGCCAATGCGACGAAGCCAACGGGTGTCACCAAGCCCTGGTCGCGCTGTATGAGCGGCCAGTCTCCAACACAACAGCCGCCCGCGACAGACGCGTACCAACGCCGCTCCGACGGGACCGTTCCAATACGGCGCCGACAAGGCTGTTCGAAATGCCGCGATGCAAATCCTTCATTGGGCGCCGGCGGTGGCGTGGCGTGCTCTCCCGAGAGAGGGCCGTCGCCGGATGCCGCCGAGCCGCCTCCGCGATGTCTTCTCCACCGATGGGGAGCGCCTGGCGAGATGGTGCCTGCAGCCCTGTCGGGCTGCCGTCGCCCGCGTCGACGCTCGTCCAGAGCGTGAGCGTCATCGCGCCCGGGCTCCCGGTCGCCGGAGTCGGGCCGCCTGAGTCCAATACCCATTTGGGCGCAGGAAGAGCATTATTTTATTAAAGCGGCGATGAGTTCTGGATGGCTCCATTGTGCGGCGTGCCGAGGAGATGGGATGAAGTTTGAAGGTGACCGGGAGCTGGCGGCGGCTGAACTCCAGTGTCGTCGGTGATTGCACAGGTCCCCGGGCGGCGCAGACGGGCGACCAGTGGCGACCGGTGGCGGCCGGCACTGGTGAGACCGACTCCGGCGCGGGCAGCCGGCCAGAGGCTTCCACCAAGGGCGACGCCATTCAAGTGCTCAGATCTCTGAGGTAGATCAAGGAAACGGTATGCTGGGAGGGGACATAGGAGTTTGCTATGATTTGGGGCAGCATCAACAACAAGGCAATCATGTAGCCGGAAGGCAATGACTTCCGCTAGATGGGACAGACGGATATCATTTGAATGTATTTGACGACATGTTTTCTCTTCCCTCATACGGTTTGCATCGGTGCGATGAAATCCAATTTCAGGTTATTCGTATCGATGCGGCTCAGCCACATAATGTGTTACCCTTCCCCATAACAAGTTCCTTTTCATTGTCTTAGCCAGACAATGGTCCCTCAATAATTGGTCTCGGTCTACTTATCCATAATCAATTGAAAACAAAGATTATAAAACGCGCCTGACAGACTCAAACAAGTATTCTGACCTGTTGCTTCCCATCAGCTCGACCCACCTCGTGCGAGCCCCGCTCCGGCCTGACCCGACCCGGCCTGCACCACTGACCTGCCTGCGCAGCTCCAGCATGAGCCGGCGGGCCGGCGCGTCACCGGACGGGCCCCGGCACGCCACGCTGACGTGCATGACGTCACTATACGTCACGACGCTGACCGAGACCACGGCGGTCGGCGGCGGCGGCTCCAGCGGGAACAGCGCCGTCACCGTGCTGCCGCCCACCTGTCGAACCGGGATAATGTCAGAATGACGTCATAGGAGCGCTGAGTGCTTTGCTGCGTAGTACGCTGGATGAAAACAGCCATGACAGGAGGACTGACGAGCTCCGTGAGATCGCCAGCACTATCAGGGACCACCCGTCAAGACCGGTGAGGCGACACATTTTGGGTCGGGAATCGGGGACAGCTTGGCCGCGGGGCACGCGGCGCCGGCCGAGGCTCACCGGGTCGCGACAGGGCGCCGCTCCGACTGGTGCCCCGGCCAACTCGGGACGTTTCAACGGCAGTGCTTTGGCGGAAGTGGCGCTCGTGTTAGGCCTTACTTACGGCAGCCGTCGCCGCAGCGGACATCATCAGGGTTGTGGATTACGTTGGCCATACACCCTCGTGCTGGAGGTCTCGAATTTACACCATACATCACCTGGATTGGATCGTTCAACGTGGATTGCCCAGCAAAGCAGCGGTGAGACTGTACTGTATGCACGCGTTTTCTGAAAAACATCCTGTGCTTGCGTCGTTCACGACACACAGACCAGAACGAGGAAGACTGAACTAACCCAGAACGAAGAAGATTGAGCTAAGCCAGAACGAAGAAGATTGATTTCTGTTGATACTCGTAAATTTCATTATTTCTCGGACACCGAGGTAGGGATCACTTATGTATTCGAGAAGCACCATGCTTGCGTATAAAAGGCACATATTTCAGCAATGGTAGAATGAATGTCAAGCAAATCATGCGATTATAGTCTTTAATTGAGAGATGCAACTGCACTGACTGGGGCACTTCCGGGTTACCTGGGGCAAGTTTTCCTCTTCATTTCTCAGAATCCATGAAACAATATCACCGATTCGAAGTGATTCGATGACTGAATTTTACGACACGGACAACAGCGTTTTTTTGTTGTTTTTTTGGGGTGACCCGCATGCTACCGATGATATCACAGGATAAGACAACTTCAGCTATGCTGGCACAATTGGGATCACTTGGCATTTGGAGTAAAACAAGCATATATCCATGCGCCTCCAAAATATGGACGTTCTGGTACGATGGCTGCACAGTCCATGCGAGATAGAAGTCAATGCGTTACCTGCACCAGCGAACATATTTTGAAGCATCGGACGTGTGCAATTTTCCAAACATGTTGAACGTCGGCGTCGTTTCCAATTTTAGACGCCGTGTGACTGCTCACTCGGCACCCATGTCAGGTCGAACATGGTCGAACATGGCCGAATTGTGCATCTGGGACATCGATACAATGTTTTATGTCCCTGAGACACAATGAAGCCAGGAACTCTTAGAGCGTACACATTTCCTCGCTGCGGTGCTGTGAGTCGGTTTTCATTGGGTAACACATAACCCAACGCGACTAAAAACACAACCATAAGCTAGAAGTTTATCCACACCACGACCTTTTCTAGCATGCATGTAAGGTGGGAATCCCACAGATGGTACAAAAGCAAGGCATTTCTACGATTCCAACATAAAATGGAACCCACAGCACAGTGGATACAAAGTTGACCTTACAAGGTATGACGAGTAAAGCGATGTGCAAACGTGTTCTCGTTAAATCATATGTGATAGTTAATGCCTGAACTTCGCATAAAAACGTCAGCTTCCTGGCAGGTTATTGGTACGTGCACGACACGTATAAATACCTTTTTGACTTTTTCCTTTGACCGCGAACTTCTTCAGACGGTCAACAGCGAAACCCATTATTGGCATATTATGACCTGGCGTAAGAACGGGGTGAATTGGCGTAAGTCCTGCATCCTGCAACATGTTGCAGCATGCTGTTTGTCGAGTTATCGCAATGGCAAGGCCTCATGCAACGCTCTTGACCTATTCTCATAAGCAAGTCGTCACGAATGAAGCAATGCCGAGAAGACGAAAAACCTCCAAATTCGGCGCCTAAAATAGTGGCTACGACTTACTTGAACATAATCTACCGTGACATTGTCGAAATCACTTCGACCCAGGCAGCTCTGTTGCTCATTTAGGGGCAATTACAAAGCCAGGCTGTTGGTGCCATTCACTTGGATGTTATGGCACAAGAATGTTGGGAAAGAGAAATGTTCCATGTTTATGTGGAGCACAGAAGATGCCGGGAATGCCTCGCGTTATTGCGTGTGCTCATTCTGGGCGCTCCGAACCAGCTATCTCTTGATGTTTATTACGTCGACGTAGATAGTCCCCGTCTCAGGGCCAGAAAGATTGCTTTCGGAAATCTCCAGAAAAAAATGCCGGACTAGTTGGAAGAAGTTCAAACAGTTCGTCCGACGTTTGCGCCAAACTTACAAGTTCACAGGAAACGTTGCGTGCCTTCCCAAACTCATAGCGTGCATCGAAAACAGCGTCAATGAGCCCACCGAACCTCGGCCAGTTAGGCTAACCTGAATCATAGGGATTTGTGACCACAAATTAGCAGCCCACTGCCCCTGCTTCAAACACGCCCCGATGATGGCCGTCATTTTTACGCAACAGGCTGGATGGATCCAAATGCGCGTCAGGTGGAGCGGGCGCTGATGAGCTAACCGCGCGGGGTTCTCAAATGTGGGAATGTGCGAGCGCGATGTGGGCTAACATTTGTACAATATTCTCTCGCAACTTGAGTACTGTACACGAACTACGTGCTAATTTCTGCGGTGCATGACTTTCGTGCATTCGGATCCTTTCAGTCACGGTCCTGAACAAGACGATCCAGAAAATGTGTTTCGATGCTCTGTGGTGCGGTTTCTCATTGCAATGTATTAGTATCCTCCGCCTTTCTGCGAACTCCTTTCCCACAACCCTCTCAAGGTAAAACACCAAAGAGGGATCGGAAGACTGTAACAACCGATAGAAAGAGGCACCTCAACTTCAGTTTCGTTGCCGTTAATAATCCGGGTGAACCTGAGTGGCCATCTGATAAGTACCATGATCAGCTATGCTCTTGCACGCATTCATCGTTTATACGTGTTTATGACTAGAAAGGCAGTGAGATCGTCAGCAGCCTTGGTTTATTTTGCGAGAATACCTAACGAACGCCAAATTCACAAAGAATAATCTGCCACTGGTGTCCTTCATTGTATTAGCTATTGCATTGCATAGTGTGAAATGCATTCGCCTCCGACAGGAGACCTCATTGAGTCTGATGACCGCATTTAAGCTCGATAAATCACAGCACCGCTGGCCGCGCGGCGTCACAAATCGCCCGGCCGGCCGCGCGCAAGCCCCGGACGGATATTGAGGCGTAGGGCAGCCGGCCCGACATGAAACGGTAGCCGGCTGTCGCTCGCGCGCCGGGCCGCCGCCGGCCAAACCGATTACTCGTCGAGACAGGTGCAATTAATGACGCCTGCCGGGCTCCGATCCGGCGGCCCGAGTCTGGTTCACGATTGCCAATGGTGCCGGCATGACTCGGGCGTCCCCTGCCGGGTGAGGCAGACGCTTCCCCGCCAGGCGGACCACTGAAGCAAGCGCCTGGGAAGCGGAACGAAGCGATGCGAGGCGACGCGCCGCTTCAGTCGACGGTGTGTGCAAAGGGTGGACAGCGCTTTACTTTGATGGCGGTGTTAATAGGCGGCGATAAGTGTGTGAACAGAATGCCCTATATGACTGATCGTACCGTACGCTCTAGAAGTTTCGGATCGACGCTCGAGCCTTTGCAGGCGGTCGACGTGATGAGGACAGCTCTGATGGGACGCGGCCGACAGGTAAGTCTTACACCGAAATATCACGCCAGTTAGCCCAGAATATGACAATATTATATAACATAGCTCGACTATCACATTATAATAGCTATATGATAAGTGGCGGCCACTTAAGTCGACGCTTGGTATGTTTATTTAACTCCAAAGGGAAAACGCGCCAAGCTACCGGATGGCACAACAAAAAGGTCCCCAAATTTAACGGTGTACTTCTTCGGATTGGAAAAGGAACAACAATGATATTCTAGCAGGAAATTTTGAACTACATCAAAAGATCACTCACATTTTCTCACAGATAACTTTAAAAAATGTAGAGATAGCATAGCATTCACTTACCTGAATTGCATCATTCTTAAGATTTTGCAACTTTAATTGATGTCGAAGGTTTCATGGCAAAACAGCAGTGCGTGCCAGAAGTATGACAGCAATTTAATACATTCGTTGCTGTTCTTCAATCTGTCCCTCCAATAACGGTCTACTAAGCAGCGCAAAGATGCCTTTATAGATAAATGGACGCTAAAATGCAAAGTCTATCTACATGAACCGTGCAGAGACGGTTCTCAAGGAGAAATGTGTCGAACCATCAAGGACTGCTTCGAGCAAAAAGACGGCCGACGACGTCTTCTTATGGCTGAGTTTCCAAAGTTTCAATGCACAAGCCAGGATCAACTGATTTATGCGGGAACTTGAGAAGAATGCTTCCTGTGCCAACAGGCCGAGGAGTGGCCGAAGCACAACACTGTCCGAAGACCAGCTGGGCGGGGTGGATGAGCTGGCCTGCTCTTAAGAAGACCGGTCTGACACCTGGAGCCTTGAGCCTGGATATTAAGTCTGGAACCCACCTGAGCCTCCTGAGCCATTTCGCGGTTATTTAAGCGGTTTACAACTCCGCCGATGTCCGGCGTCCGGCACGACAAACTGAGATTTCTAGAAGATTAACGACGGAAAAGTCGACAGTAATTTTCAACGATGACGACTTCAGCTTGACATGTCGTTGAGCGCTTAGAAGAACCGTGATTACGAGGTGCGGTTCCAGCTGTACGCTCAGAACAAACGTGATTGCGAGGCGCGGCTTCAGCTGCACGCTCAGAACAACCGTGTCTGCGAGGCGCGGTTTCAGCTGCACGCTCAGAACAACCGTGGTTGCGGGGCGCGGTTCCAGCTGCAGGCTCAGAACAACCGTGTCTGTGAGGCGCGGTTCCGACGAGCTGGCTGTGCCATGACCAATTAAGATTTTCGGTAAAAGCCATGGTTAGCTTGGGTGTCGCCGGAACGGAGACGCTGAAATTTCAGTTTTACTCATCGAAGACGCGTAAGTCGGATCGGCTGCGTATATTCGCTTGCTGGAAGAGAGGCTACTGCAGCGCTACGTGGAATTTCTCCACCCAGCCGGCTTTATTTTCCGTCAGAATGACGCCCAATCATACACAAGCCGGCTCACACGGGGGATACTCACTTCGAATGACTGCCAAACCCCTGGCCGGAGTCCTCTGGACTACTGCGTCTGGAATGCGCTAGCGGAGGATGTGTAACGTTCTTGTCACCAGAAATTCTTCATTCTGGCCGAACTAAAGCAGGCTTTCATGGCCACATGAGAGGAGATGTCACGAGATATCATATATCATATGTTATGAGGAGCAGCATCCATCAGTGGAAGCAACTGTCAAATGCTGTGGTTCTGGCTGATGATGGCCGTCTCGCTTATGTTTCCAATAAAATACTAGGAAGAAATATTTTACAAGTGTGTGTTTCTGCGCTGGCAACGCAAATCCACGGATTACGTTGAAATTCAGCACGCACGCTCTCTATCGTATTTTGCTACGACACGCTGGCATTAGATCCTTAAATCTATATGTTTTCTTAAGTCTGTTGCGTATAAGGGGTCTACCCGGTATGCTGGGAAATAGCCCAAGTGGTTCATACAACCTTTCTGAACGGAAATGGTAGTGTACTACACGCAAAACAGGAGTCGTTAAGTTCCCTCCAAGATGCAATCGTGTGGCGTACCTCTACCAGAATCACAGACATCACCCACACTCGAAACCCAACCAATCGAGCCAAACTAAATCGGCTCACCTGTAACGGTGCCTCCGGACCGGCGAGGTTCGCCAGCAGCACGCTAGATGGCAGCACGATCGAGCTCTCGGCCAGCCAGCGCGCCCAGCGGGCCGGCAGCAGGGTGTAGAAGGCGTGCGTCAGGAGACGGCTGACGGCCGTGTCGGCGGACGTCTTGAGGTCGTCCATGACCCGCCGTGCCGCCCAGAGCCGCGGCACGGCGCCCTCGGTACGCGTCGGAAGCGCCACGCGCGCCAGGCTGCAGCAGTTGTTCAGCCGCAGACGCCAGCGAGGCTCCTCGTGGCGCCGCAGGTCCACCGGGATCACGGCCTGTCAGTGAGAGGGTGGGAGCGTGAGGGGACGCCAGGCGCGGAGCGCTGCGGACTCAGCGGCATCGCCGTGTGTCGAGAGAAGGGACGGCAGGGCACAGCGGCAACAGCGGGGGTACTAGCGGCACAGCTTGGGGGTGGCAGGAAGCGGCGGCAGCGGGGGTACCAGCGGCACAGCCTGGGGATGGCAGGAAGCGGCGGCAGCGGGGGTACCAGCGGCACAGCCTGAGAGTGGCAGGAAGCGGCCGCAGCTGGGGTACCAGAGGCACAGCCTGGGGACGGCAGGAAGCGGCCGCAGCGGGGGTACCAGTGGCACAGCCTGGGGGTGGCATGAAGCGGCCACAGCTGGGGTACCAGCGGCACAGCCTGGGGGTGGCAGGAAGCGGCCACAGCTGGGGTACCAGCGGCACAGCCTGGGGACGGCAGGAAGCGGCGCCAGCGGGGGTACCAGCGGCACAGTCTGGGGGTGGCAGGAAGCGGCGGCAGCGGATTTCAGAGTTCCACTGAGACCACAGTTTGAGAAGGGATGGGGAAATGGAGTGCAGGCTCTTGCATGTTTACTGAATTAGGGCTTACGGGCAGCGAGGACACCGCTGAGGCGAGCGCACCGCAGGTCCACCGCCAATAAAGTCTGTGGTCGAAGCCGAATGAAAAGAATGCGGTGGGACAACGGGACCTATGCTCCCTGGTTTCACCTGTCTTACATCCTACCAAAGTTTAAGCCCGTGATATTCCCCTCGTTCAGGCCAGACGAGATGCTCGCCAGGTGACCACAGGTTAGCCAGCGCAGCTTGTGGCCGGGATATGTCGGGGGAGCGTTCAATGTCCGCCGTCGGCGCATAGGTCACGCGGAAGCTTGGCGCCCCGTCCGCAGCTCAGGCCCGGGTCGGCACGTGGCGAACTGCTTTGTGCCAGACATGGAGCAGTTTCAGCCGTTTCTAAGCTCTCACAATGATCTCTCAGCCATTACCGACCTTTCAAATTCCAGGAACGATCTGAAAGTATGTACCAAACATTTGAAAGCGAGCCAATTCCAAAGCAAACCTTTAACGTGCACTTCTTGGACACAAGCTTCGACTGTTCTAACGGGCAACGCTTGCGTATATTGAGCGTTTATATAACTAAATCATTCATAATGAAAGAAATGAATGAATGATAAAAAGTCAAAAATAGTGTGCTGTGATAATAAATGATAATGAACAAAAATGTTAAATAGATAAATAGATGAGTGTTAGTGATCCCCTCACCTTTACGACGCATTTCACTGCTACTGTCGTCAGCCTCGCAGCACCGCCGATGCCGATGGTCATAGGTCCACCTCACCGCGCGTGTTTTATTCCATTCCAGAAAAACACACTGGATGTGGTTTTGACCATGCAAAGCGTGCCTGGGACCATCATTTCCTCTGAGTCGGAGCGCGCATTTTTGCAACGGCTTCCAATGACGACCGCCAGCCCGCCACGCAGCCGCGTTGCCTTAGAAACGCCTGTTCCAGCTGCGACACTGGCAGCCGGCCTCGCGGGCGGGCAGAGTCCAGTCGTAATAGATATTGAGTGCCCAGTGTGTGTCCGCTGGCTGGTAACGTGGCCGTCCGGGTCAGAGGTCCAGAGTGGCATAGGGAGGTCACCGGACCAGTCAACTGACGGGCAGCAGACACCAGCCTAGCCCGATGTCCAAATTTGTTGAGGGGGGTTGTGAGTCCAGTAGGAACCGGTTGCTGCTTGATGTGGGAGGGCTGGATACGGCAGGCTTTAACCTCGATGCCAACTCATTCGTTGTATGATGGGGTTATTTGGTACTCTTTGTGTATGCATGACTTTGTACCCTTCATCACTGTCCGCTGTTTTTATTTATTCTTTATCTTTCCGACAAATGGCCAGTAATAGCCACGCATTTGTATGTGGAGGGTTAGCTGACGTCCAATAGTCCAGCTGGGCACGCATAGGTCAACAGTTCGGCAGAAGAGTACATCAGCACTGCCGGTGGTTCCGTCCGGTAGACAAAGGTTGTCGGCTCGGCCATAGGTACATTTCGGCGGACGGAAGGCACAGGGCCAGCCCGTGGTCCAATTGGCAGACGTCAGATGCTCCGAGATCCAATAAATCCAATCCAATTCGGCGGCGGACCGTAGGCCATCAGCTATCGCTGCAGACCGACCAGGAGCCAAAGCCCGGTCTCGCAGACAATGGCCTTCTAAGAATACCTTTGTGTAGAGCTGTATGTGGTGAACTAATAACGAATGCCTAATATATAACGAATAACGAGACTTGAGTTGCCGCCTTGCACGGATGACACCTGTCGCCCCGGAGCGCTTCGGTTCCGCGGTGGAGAAGACTTCACCAGTGACAGCTTTTGCTCCTTGTTGCTCTTCCGAGCTATACACGCGGATTCCTGTACAGCGCACGGCAAGCAGCACTGTGTTATCTATACGCATAATGTCGCGTACGAATGCACTCAACAGTTTACGGTGACAAAGGACCACTGAAACGGGAAGCCATTTTAAAAATGTGCAACCAACCGTACCATCAATCTTGCAAATTGGACTGTGCGCAATAGTTGGCGTCCCGACGATGGCATAAACGCAGCCAACTGCAGTTTGGTCGACCCAAAGCTGTTCACATCAACTAACTAGATCTTTCGCTGACAAGTTTAAACCTTTGATTCGACTTATAGTCGGCTCTTTCTTGCCCTTCTTTTGTACCAAAACTTGTACACAGGTTGGTTAATTTATGCCACCTTAAACAGGGAATATATCATTACGTAAATAACTATCACCGTGGAAGTCAGTGCATAAAAACCGCGTAGTTGTGAGCCACGTATGTAAATGGTGCGACTGAAAGAAGGCATTTCCATTCGACAATCACGATATTTTTCGCTTCGGAAACAGCCGATCCTTATGTAATGTTCCGCGAAGTATGGTGTTCAACATTGACCCCGTGGAAGCCCATGACGAAACAACGGCGCCTGGGGGCTGCACGCGACGGCCCAAGGGAGCAGTCCAATATGTTTCGTATCTTCGATCTTCATCATCAAAGAAGATGGCAATGAGCTGTCCTGTCTTCTCTGCTATAGTCCACCAGCGACTCGTGGAACGAGTCAACGACGAGATAGCGAATGAATGCACGAGCAGCTATTCATCAGTTGTAGTCGGATTTTCTCCGGTTGATATGATAACGTACGGTAGATGGAGGTGCTAATGTCGTCGTGCTGTCCCCGCTGGGTGGCTCCATGCATACATTGCACTTCTTTGTTGAATGTCTTTGACCCACATATTCCATCTGGGAGGTTCAGCATCCTGCTCAACTCTGGCCATCGGTCCAACCTTTATGGGAAGCTGGTCAAGGCCTATAACAAATCGTTATTCATCGTCTACGATAAATGGGGCTGAAGAGACAGAGAACAGGTTCTGGAGAAGTTGGCGGGTAACGTTCACTGAAAAGTCTGAGATATGTGATTGTCCACAGATGGCGTACTTATCCACAGAACTTGGCGTAAATATAATCAAGTGTTAGAAGGCCTATTGGGTACGAGGCATCTTGCCAGAGTTGAATAGCCGCTGATCGTTAAACCTTAAACCGATGACTTAAGTCATAGATCGATCTGGCTGTTTTTATTCAGAGTGCAGGCAAACAAATAGCAAAGAAAGAGAGACAGAAAAAGCGCGAAGTTTTGTTCAAAACCGTCTTCAGGTAAAGAGGTTCGGGAACGTACAAGGGCGCCAGAGGCGAATGGGCAATGTTATCCTAAAGTAACACGACGAGACGTAGACTGAGAAGTTTCGTAGGTCAACACCAGGTGGTCTCTCACTGCGGGTAGTCTCGCCACCTTTCTTGCATGGCTCGCAGAGAAGTAGAAATATGTTTTTGTGTTTAGAATGCGGTTCTGGTCTCTGATTAAAGGGAATTGAGCTATTTTTGGTTTTGGCCGCCTTACATACCTACATACATACGCATCACGACTGGAATAATTGTTCAGACTTCCGTCCTCGCCTGGCGTGTTAGTGCATGCACATACTAGCATGCACACATACCTAAGTGTCACTATGCACATAATGTATGCATACTTACCCACAAGACGAGGACAATAGTCAGAACAATAATCCTATTCGTGATCTTAACACCTCATCTCAATCCGTCTGTAACAATGCTTACTGCATCTTTGTGCAATGCTCCGTTTCGTTTCGACGACGATAAATGCAGTGACATCCGACATCCTGGAATCGCCCCTGCGTAAATTTCCTGTGGCTTTCCTACAGCAGGAAATTGGTGTGATGCATTTCCCTCCTGTCTCGTTCATTCCTCGTTTTTCAATCGGCGTTGAAAGCCTGGTTATTCTGTGGTTTAAAGTTCTCGTTTCTCGCTACGGATCTCAACGATTAACAACGTATTCAAAGCGCCGAGTTTCACTTTTGAAACCTTTAAGTCGTGTTATCTTATCTGTGTGCGTGCGTTCACGTAGCTTTTGAAATCTTCTCATGAAGTCGGCGAGAAATGTAGCAAATCTGCGTGAAGATCGGACAACAAAAGTATTCCGTGAATATATAATGGATTTAGCAAAAGATCCGCATCAGCGGTTGACGTCCTACTGAAAGCAAATGTATGCACTGCATCGGTGCCTTCTGAATAACCAGTTAATTGTAATTATATGAGTGTTACAGCATTATATGAGTTGTGTTACAGCGGCCATCGCTGTACCTACATTAACACGCGCTCGAGGGGGTCAACCTGACCCCCCGAAGGTTTTTCCACAATGGTTTCCGAACGACACGGCGTAGCCGCGCCAAATTTTGCATAGCTGTAGACAATTGCATAGCGGGCCGTTTGGCATCACAAATTGAGATGTATCTTGTAACGTCGCTGACCTATGGCAGATCAAAGTCAGGCCATGCTTTCAGCGAAGGCAATTTCTAGGGAATCCTTCAATCTGATCCAACAACGGAGTGCTAGACGGAGCCATACATCTCTGAGATGCTTTCTTAGGCAACACAGCAGTTGAATGAGC